GAAAGATGGAAGGAATCACTGTTGTCTTCGCAAGGGTCATAGGAGCTTTTCCCAAGGACATCCTATTCATTCAGAATCTTTTATTTTAGCTAGGACAGTATCCTGGTAGCTCAAATGGTAAAGAATCCACCTGCAACATGGGAGACCTGGGCTCAATCCCTGGGTTGGGAAGATCCCCTGGAGGAGGGTATGGCAACCCACTCAAGTATTCTTGCCTGGAGAATCCCCATGGACAGAGGAGCCTGGCAAGGCTACAGTCCATGGGGTCACAAAGAGTCAGTTATGGCTGAACGACTAAGCACAGCAGAGAAGAGCAATAGGACAGTACTCGCTTGCAGCCTTAAGTTTTCTTGTGGACTTGAAATGGCTACCAAATGAGCTATATTGGCCTATTGTTGTTTAGTCACTTAGTCTTATCTCACTCCTTTGCAACCCCATGGACTGTAGCCTTCCAGGCTCCTCTGTCCATGATATTTTTTTAAGCTGGAAAGAATACTGGAGTGGTTACCATTTCCTCCTCCAGGGGATCTTCCCAACCTGAGGATTGAACCCACTTCTCCTGCATTGTAGGCAGACTCTTTACCTCTGAGTCCTTACAAATGCCCCTTCTGGTGTTGAGGTGTAGTTTATACTGAGTGGAGTTAAAGTGCGTGCACAGTCTCTTTTAATCCGTACGACAGCCCTGTAGAATCTGATTATACCCATTTGGCATAGGAAGAAATTGAAGTTCAGATAACTCAGTACTGTTTTTTATTGAGTGTTCCATGTATTAGGCTCTGTGCTAAGTGCTTTACATGTTTTATCTAATCCTTATGGCATCCTTGTAGATGGCTATTCTCATTCCCATTTGAAGATGAGGAGACAGAGAGGCTCACACAGGTGACGTTACTCATCCATGGTCTCGCAGCTATTAAATGTCACAGAATTCAAACTCAGGTGTGAATGTCCTGTCCTTATGCCATATACCTGCCTCCTTGAAGTTTTCCTTTGTCCGAGTATCTGCCATCAAGGCTTCATTTCCATTTGAAGCATCATCAATGAAAAAGTTTCAGTGTGAATTCGATTTTCAGTGCATCTGGCTTTTCTTTTTAAAATGTGGAGGCAGAGCTGGGGCAGGCAGTGAAGGATTTCCTACACCAGTCACTCCTGCGTTATGCTGTAGCTCTCATGGCCATCTCTGTGCTGTTTGGTCATTTTCAAAGTCAAGGACACGGGTGAAACAGTACTTCCCAGCCTCAGAAAAGACCAGTTCCAGAGGGCACCCATAAAGAGTGCTTACTGGAATTACCTCCCTCTCCAGCCCATGTGTCCTCACCCTGTCTTTTAGGGAGAAATGAGATATAGGGTGTGATTTACTTCCCCACCGAGGTGAGGAATGAGAGGTGGAATTAAGGGTGACTCAGTGCTCCCACAGTGGGAGAAGACCGCAAGCTTTGTGGTACCATGGATTCGACTCTCAGAAGACCAGTGGACTGGCCCAGAGCCCAGCCTTTGACCCTTCATCTGGCTGGCTTCAGTTTAGTTCCTATAAATGTTTCTCCCTGCAAAATCTTATTAACCTCTCATCAGTATGGGTTTGGTCGAATCATGGATTCCTACAATGGCCCAAGTTTTCTGAGTTCTCAACGTCATATTTCTAGGGGTGAAGACTTTTGTAGTTGTTTCTTGTTAATAAAATATCTTTGTATCCTTTCCGTCCATTCACAAGTGACAAAGGACAAGCCCAGCTGGCCTGCACAGTGATTTTTTAATAGAGAGATGGACATTCAGATGGAAGCCTTGGAGTGTGCAGAGTGGGTATAGACACCTTTCCATGGCAGTGGTAAGGCCCCTGAGAAGCACAGGGAAGAATCCAGCATTTAGAGGGAGGAGGGGATCTCTTAGGTCATCTTGTCCCACCCTCCTGGGGTCAACATAGTGTTTCTGTACAGAGAACACCCTAGGCCAGTTGGCACTGGGGTTGCCAAGGCTGCTGCAACAGAATCAATTGGCAGTTAAGCTTTGACATAGGCTCCGTCATAAACCTTGGCTATTATACTTGTTTTATTGGAGGATGGGGGATAGTTAAAGGAAAGGGGTTGGTATCAGGCCATTTGCCTAGATTATTACCGCACATCCTCTTAGGGGGAAAAGTATTATGAGGTTTTTAGCTTCTTAGTCGGCTGCCAGAAATATGTAGACAGGACCTTAACTTACTGTCTCTTTCAGGAAGATCTTTCTTTTTAGGCAAGTCAGAGTTGAACCACTCTCTCCCTTCTTCTGTGATATCAGGGAGAGTCATTTTTGTCCAGACCCTGAGTAAAGACCACTGGCAACCTCCATAATTCCAGAAGATAGCAAGAATGCTCTCCAAAACAAGGGTCACATTTCTCTCTTTTCTCTCGATTCCCAAGTGCATACAGTTTGTGTTCCAGGTTCTTGTTGCTGGCTGTGTCACGTATGGAATTGTTTTCTTCCTAATCAGACTGTCACTTTTGAGAGTAGGTCCAAGGCTGCTATTCGCTTGCCTCCTTAACAGGACCTAAATCTGTGCTGGGCCCAGAGTAAGTGCTTAATAAAGACATCCTAACTTGGATCGTAGATCACAGACTGTCAGAGCTGGAAAGGATTTTGGAAACCACGAAGTCCAACACTCTAATTTTATAGATGGTACCACTCCAGAAATTCACTTTGGAGGCTGGTGTTTATCTGCTGGGAAGAGAGTTTCAGTTTTTTCCTTTCAATGTTAAATTCTCATGCAAGTGACCATCATTCTAAATGTTTGAACGGCTTTCTTTAGACAGTGTGGGATGTTCCTCCTTGGACTAGTAGCTGACTAATAATAACCTGATAACAGTAAGAGCGCTGTCCAGATTCCATACCCTGAGCGACTGTCACTGATCCTGTCAGCCACAGGACAGCGTCAGGACTGTCTCCCTCCTACAGATACTGGGAGGGAGGCACAGCGGTCAGGCCCTCGGCTAAGGGTCACGAGACTAGAATCTGGTTTGGCCGGATCCCCGAGCTCATGGCTCACAGTGGTTCTAAGTGGGGTGGCTGGAGAAAATCCCCACTTAATATGAAATCCCACAGTGTCTCTGTCCTAAAGGAAAGTGTAAAATTACTTTTCATTAACTTCAGCTCTCTAATTAGACAGGGAGTGACAGGGAAGGTGAGGCAGAAATCAGTCATGACAGAGGTTGCATCTCCAGAAAGGTCCATGAGTTCATAAAAGCTTTCAGTCAAGAGTGCAAGGAGTTCATCCATACCGTTTCTCCAGATTCCACACATGAACTTGTTTGCAGGGCATGAATGGAGACGTAGATATAGAGAATGGACTTATGGACACAGAGCAGAAGGGAGAGAATGGGACAAATGGAGAAAGTAGTATCAACATGTATGCACTGTCGTGTGTAGTGGATAGTCAGTGAGAGGTTGCTCTGTAACACGGGGAGCCCAGCCTGGTGTTCTCGTGATGACCTAGAGGGGTAGGATGCGGGGAGAGGAGGGAGGCTCACAAGGAAGGGGATAGATGTATAATTATGGGTGATTCACGTTGTGGTACTGCAGAAACCAACACAACATTGTAAAAATTAAAAAACAAAAGAGTACAAGGAGAAAGAGCAGTTAGGTCTTGCTCCAGGAACCATTGCTTTACATGGAATCACTGTTTCTTCCTCCGGTCTCTCTTCTGTGCCCAGAACTCACCTTCCCTCATTTCTCAGCATCAGAAGCCTCAGGATTGATGGCTCCCAGGGCAGATCTGTGTGCCCCACCTCATCAAACCAGAATGCAGTGGCCTTGTGGTGGCCAGGAGGCCAGTGTACTGGTTCCTCACGGCAGGCTGTTTGCCTCAAGCCTTTCCTCTGAGCTTTATATCTAAATAACATTCCTGTGAGTTTTCTAAAAGGTTAGTGCTGGGTCATTGGCACTTAAACCACTTGTTTTGGTAGATCCTTCCCATGAAGCTTCATTATATATTTGATATCCTTCCTTTTTTATGCCTGAATGATGAGGATAAGTACCCTGTGGTTTATTAACTGTCACTTTAAACCTTTTCAGATTGTCTTGTGACAAAACAGAGTTTTATGTCCTTCTTACCCAGTTTTGATGGGTGAGACAGTTCTCTGGGTAAAGTATGCCAGGATAAATAAAATCTCACTGATTCGCGGGGAAGGATTTTGCATTTGAAGTCGTGAGTTCAAGTCTGCCGCTTCGTAAGAAAGGCAATCTACTCTCTTCACCTTTCCCTAGACTTTGTTTTCCTCTTGACAGATGGGACTGGGTGTTTAGTAACTGTGGAATAAGTGAAAGAAAAGGTGTTACTTTGGGGCAGCTAAGGATGTCAAATCCTCAGGCAACAATTTGCCACGCTTCTATTTTGAATCCCACTCAACCTTAGAGCAAACTGCCTCTGTCCTTATCAGTGTTGTTGACGTCGTTTAGTTGCTAAGTCACGTCCAACTCTTTTGTGACCCCACGGAGTGTAGCCTGCCAGGCTCCTCTGTCCATGGAACTTCCCAGGCAAGAGTACTGGAGTGGGTTGCCATTTCCTTCTCCAGGGGGTCTTCCCAACCCAGGGATCAAACCCGTCTCCTGCATTGCAGTCAGATTCTTCACTACTGAGCCACCAGGGAAGCCATCCACACCATTATAGAATCCCAAAGTTCACCTCTCCTCCCCCAGGCCATTTTGTTACACCTTTAATTTTTCTGTAAGTTTGCAATAGGATTGTGAAAGGTAAATATGATTATGGATGTTTAGTAGTTGTTTAAAAACCTTGTGCCCACCAGTGTAAATGTCCCACAATTCATTATATGTCCAGTGCTTGAAAAATGTTCTTCTGGGACACACACTACATGTAATTCAGCAGTTAATCTCTCTCTCTCTCTCTCATTCAGTATTTACTGAATCCCAGCTAGGAACAAGGGAAGGTATTTATTTAAAATAATTAAAAGAATGGAAAAAATAGAGTGCTGAGACTTTAAAACTTGTTTCCTCCTGTTTTGTATTCATTCCAGTTCGCAGGGACTTTATCAGATGGCTTAGGGAAGACGATGGATAATCGGCACCAGTCAGAGCGGGAGTATATCAGATACCACGCGGCCACAAGTGGCGAGCACCTTGTGGCCGGCATCCACGGGCTGGCTCATGGTGAGTCATGTGATGTCAGGCTGCATGGGGGCTCTTCTGTCTCAGCTACCTGGAGGTGCCTCTTGCTCATCCACCTGCAAGAGGAAATGATGGCTTGGTATTTGAGTATTTGCTTCCAGGCTCTCTGGTTCTGTCTTCCTTGGGTCAAAATGTTACAGCCTGTGAGAACTCTTCATTCATTTTCAAAATGTTGTACACATTGCAGTTCCTTCTTCTTCTCTGACTTCTGTCCCCAAAGTGTCCTAGGATGTAAGTAGCCAAACCCCTTTTTAGAACACAGGACTACTGCTTCAAGACTTGCCTTCTGTCCACTGATTATTCCTTCCACAGGTAGCGAAATGTGAATTGGCTGCCAGGTTTGTGGCCCAGATGTTTTCATATAAATGCACATTCATAGGGATTGTAGATCTATGTGCCCAAGAGATGTGGAACACAGCATGAATGTCTCTAAATGTGTTTATAGTTCTGATTTTTAATATTTCAGCCTGACTCATTTGTTGCGTCAGTACCTTCTCTGCATGACGTTGAAGGCCCCTAGGAAAGTAGACCCAGCCAGCTCTTCCCACCACTCTCCTCAGCCACACTGCATTTCAGCAACCCAGAGTTATATCCTGCTCTCCAGACTTGCCTGCGAGTCCTTGCTCACTCATGTTTCTTCTGCCCTCCCCTCCCCAGCTTCACTTCCTTGCCCATCAAAATCCTTCTCCACCTGCAAGTCCCCACTCAGATGAGGTTTGCCCAGCTCTACTGTCCCCAGTTAGAATCGATGATGATTAGAGCGTACCTGGTGGCCTGGGTTGTGTGTGTAGCCAGCTGTGTGTGTCTTGCTTTGCTGATAGGCTTTGAGGGCAAGGCGAGGATAAAGACCCTCACGTGGTCACCTTTGTACCTGCAGTACCTCACACGGCACCTGGTGTATAGCTTGTGCTTGGTGATGGATAGTCTGAAGCTCTCAGTAACAATTGGAGGAAAAACAAGGAATATACCTAGTAAAAAATCATATTTTTCCTTGTTTTTGTTTATCAAGTTTCCTAATGATAAAGTTTGGATCAAAATGCCTCTGCCCAAGTGGAAAGCAAGCAGCCCCCAAGGAGACATCAAGCTAGCAGTGAACTTTGGCTAAAATTGATCTGTTTATGGACTTTAAAAGTTGATTGTTGGGCAGTCTTTTGGGGCTAAAGATTTAATCATTGTTTTTAGTAACTGTAATGATAGTGCACCAGACAATTTTAAGACTTTATTTTTTTTAATGAATATAAAGTGCTTTGATATGTGTACTTGTCTTTATCTATCTAGCATCCTTGAGATGCAGAGAGAAACCATGCCTGTCCTCACTGTTTAGATGGGTGTTCCAGTGTGCTGAGAAAATGAGTGAGTGGTTCACAGTAGAAAAATCCCTCCAAGCCAGGGATCCTTCAGATAATATGTGCAACACCTCCAGAAGCCAGCCGGGCCAGTCTGAGACTAAGGATCCTTCAAATAATACATGCCGTGCCTCCAGAAGCCAGTCGGGCCAGCCTGAGACCAGGGATACCTCCAGAAGCCAGCCGGGCCAGTCTGAGACTAAGGATCCGTCAAATAATACATGCCATGCCTCCAGAAGCCAGTCGGGCCAGTCTGAGACCAAGAACCAGTGGCCTCATCCAAGGGGGACCCATTAAGCTCTGGGATGTATGAAAGCGGTAGAGTAAGATCCTTCTTCCTTCGGATGAAAAAAACAAAAACAAAAAACAACCCTTAAACGATAACAAGAAACAGAATCAATGCCATCTCCTTGGTTTAAAAACTGGGAGTCAGGCACAGTTTCCCTTGTCGGCCCCACTCAACCCAGGTTCAGTCATGTTCTGTCTCTGCCATGAGCTTTGTTCTAAACTTTGGGAAAGGCCTGTTGCCTCACTGGAGCAAGTGGACCCAGAATCCAGAAGAAATGCTGTGAATTGTTAGTATATTCTCACCCAAGGAACTTCCTTTACCAATTTGTCTCACTAGAGCTGAAGAGTCTAGAGAGCGTCCTCATACCCCCTCCATCAAAGGGTAAACATCTGTGAGTGTCCCTGGCACAAATCCTGGAGACGATTCTTCCTAGCACTGCCTGCGTCCTCTCCAGCCTCTGCCAACTTCTGGCCACTTGGGAGGCTCTTTAAGGTCACTACCATCACCTTTCAAAATGTTTGGAATGTCTTTTTGACCTCGGTCAATCTTTTGAACCAATGGTATCTAAGGTCCCAGCTGGCGCTGGCAGCCTTGGGGGTGCCCTTCATCCGGGCTTCACCCTCGGCTCCGATTGCTTGCACCTGTTTTAGCAACATGTGCAGGAAGGAGTTTTGACCCCATTGCAGGCTTTCAGTGGTGCTAGCTAGTCACATAGTATTCTTTGAAAACTATGAGGATTTATATTTGGTTCTTGTTCCACCTTACATTTTACAGGATCCCAACTTTCCCAAAGGGCCCAATTTGCTGGTCCATTGATTTAATCCTCTGTCTGCACCCTCTCCTGTTTGCCCATAAGCTATTCAAGTTCTGGAATTAAAAAGTAGTCACTGGTAACCTCTTCGCTTTCCTTTGATTTTTCAAAGGAAAAACTGAAACACGCTGTCCTGGTTGACGTGTGATGCATGTTCTCTGACTTCCAACTCCAAGGGCACATCTGCTGCCTCCCCATCTTGATGGGCCTCCCTGTTGCCTGTCAGGAGGTTGACAAGATGCCCCTATGTCTACCTTGCCAGGTGCATGAAATTGAGGGGTTTGCCTTTAAATGCTTTTGCTTTTGTCCTTGGCCAGGTTACCACAGCCCTTGTCTCTTTTGCTAGGTATCATTGGTGGACTGACCAGTGTTATAACCTCAACCGTGGAAGGTGTAAAAACAGAAGGTGGTGTCAGCGGTTTCATATCTGGCCTTGGGAAAGGGCTTGTTGGCACTGTCACCAAGCCAGTGGCAGGCGCCCTGGATTTTGCATCAGAAACAGCCCAGGCGGTGAGAGACACAGCCACGCTTAGTGGCCCCAGGTCAGTGGTCATGGAGGGGAGTGGCTTTTGCAGTTTCCAGCCCTGGTCTGCTGCCTCTCCTGAGCCATACTGATATGTTTGATCATACACTTTCTGCCTTAATGAAATGATTTTTAAAAAACTGAATACATGTAATTAAAATTTCTGACCTACCTAATACAAATACATGAAAATGAGGTATAAACATCTGGCATCATTTTCTATATATCTGTATCTATCTATTTATACCTGCATATACTGGATGTGTATGTGTGTGTGTTATTTTTTTTTTTTAATTAGACTAATCAGAAACACAGTGGCATCCTTACACACATCCCCTGTTCACCAAACTGAGTAGACCCCTCCAAACACCCATTAAGAAAACTCTCAGGCCACAGGCTGTGTCTTGCTCCAAGGCCCTGTGGCATGGTTGGAGAATCCAACAGTTGCGGTTCACCACATGGAGTCTGTCCCTTCTTAGTTCTCCCTCCACTTGAAACTGCCAGCCAGTCCCCCAACCTTACAGAGAAACTCCCCAAGGAAGCTGGCAGTTCTGTGGGATGCCGTCTTGCCTTGATACCAGCTGAGACAGGAAATCAGTGACAGCCCACACAACTTCAAATCCTATAGACTCCAACCACTTTAACTCTGCTATTCGTGTTAATGGCCGATTTTAGCCTCCCTTGTCCAGAGTGACTAATTGGGGATCTTATCAACAAAGGGTGTAATGAATGTTACAGTTCCCAGCCAAGCTGGACTCCACTTAAGCCCAGAAGATTTCGCTGCTGCCTGGTTAATAGATATCCCCTGAGTGAGTTAGTAGGCCCTTAGAATGCCTAGGGCCTGGGCCACATCCACACCCTGTTGCTCCCTCAAATAGGATTTGAAGTGAAATCGTCCCCAATTAAAATGAATCCATTTTCTGTCACCAGGAAGCCTTACTGATGACACATTACTGCACTAGGGGAAATGCTTCAGATTGTAGACGGGGACCACGTCATGTGTTCAGCCAGAATGTCTTCCATCTGGAAGCAGCTGCTTCTTAAAAAAAAAGATCTGTGGAGTTTAGTCCTTAAGTGAAGTTACATTCTATTCTCAGACACAAAGCTGAAACAATCCTTGAATATATCTCAAAGCTTGTAGGAAGCTGGGGAAAGGGGCAGGAGGGAGGCTTCAGAAGGATTTCCAGTTAGTTTCTCCATGTCCGCCCGAGGCCCAATAAGTCTCTGTCCAGTACTTTGTTAGGACAGTAAGACCCAATGAAGCCCAAGTAAAGTGGAAGGCCCTGAATAATTCCAGAAGACCCATTCTTATCCTTAAAATCCTAGAGTGGTCAAGGGACGGAGTGATTTGTTTCCAAAAGAGTCCGAGGTATATGTTTTAAATTTAGAAACATTATTTTGTGCTGCGAACTCTCATGATGTTGACCAGAAAGAAATCACTTGCATTTTATACAGTGTCAGTTTGGAAAGTTTGATGAAGTTTTGCATTCTTTTTAGGAGCTCAAGAAAGGCACAAAATGCTTGCTGCAGAAAGGTGGTGTCATTTTTACCAGTTGTCTAGCTTTACTGCAGAAAGTTCTATTTAGTGTTAGTCAGCATGTATCTATCACTCATTCATTTTTTGATGAGTAAATATTGATTGAAAATTGCCTGAAAACTCAAGGCTGGGAACATAGCAGAAAGCAAGGCTGAGCTTAATCTCAGAGGACTTACAGTCAAACAGGGTAGCAAACATAAAGCAAATAATCATAGAAGTAATTATTTGCTAAAATTGTGATAAATGACACAGGAAATTTAGAGAGTGTCATGGGACTATATAATTAGAGGAGGCAAGGAATTGAAAGAGATTTGCTTATGTGTGGTCAGTGGGGTCAAGAAAGGCGTATCTAGGGAAGTGATACTTGAGATGAAGCCTGACATAAAAGTGTGACCTGGCCAGGTAAAGAGAAGGAAGAGTCGCCTCCCAGGTAATGGGGGACAGGGAACCTGTGCGCTTCGCCTCAAAGCGGATAGCAGTCGGCCAGTCTAATTGAATTGCCCAGAACAGCTATCTTCTAGTCACTCACTCCTCCTAGAAACCAAAGCTCTAGTGACAAGTGAGGAGCAGCCAGGTAGCCATGGGCTCTTGGGCCTGGGAGTTCACAGGGGACGTTGAGCTGCTGCCTCTCTTCTCTGTTCCTGGAGGAGCCAGTAGTGGGAGAATCATGGCCACAGTACCATGCTCTAGACCCATGCTAACTTAGGGCCTCCGAGAAACTTGGCCCTCCACCCTTCATTGCACTGAAAGGCATCACAGATTCTTCTGGAACTCTGGACTCATTTCCCTTGGTCCATCTGTCTAGATTGAACCATAGGGTTATTAATGAGGAGCCATGTGTTAGAGAGGAAAGATCCCTTAACCTGGAAAACAATAGCACTGGGTCCCAACCCCCTTCCTTACCAGTTTTGGGCCCTTGGTCAAGCCTCCAAGCCCCCTTGAAGCCTCAGTTTTTTCCTCTCTGAACTGGGGATAAATATACCTGTTTGTTTATTCTTTCTCAGAGGTTTGAAACCCAACCAGAGTTATTTTAATGTGGATGTTATAAAGAACTATAAATTGCTGGATGATACTATTTTTGAAGTCACATTAAAGGAGCAGAGAGGTTTTTGCAGGTGGAGAAACATTTGAGTGCCTCAAGGGTTTGTTCTGATGACACTGTGATCTCTTAGGAACGTACCAGTTCTCCCAAGGGATAAATCACCCCGATTTCTTGGAAGTGAGTTGTAACCATCTCCAACCATCCCAGTTGATTGAACAGGATCCAGGGGTGTTACTCAGGGTTTTTCCCCACTGTTTAGACAACAGGGACTAACAAATGATTTGAAGGGATTAGAAGTGAGATTCTGACCGAGAGCTGACCTGAGCCCAGGGACTGAGCCAGCAGTAGAACCCAGGAGTCCAGGCGCTCTGCCTCTGAGTCTGCTCTTGGAATGAGACTTTCTGCTTCCTTTGTAATATTTCATCCAAGGGAAGGCTTAGATCTTAGCATCTATGTTTTAACCGACCCAAATTTCAAGCAGATGATAACAAAGTAAGCCATAAAACTGTGAAAGAATATTCCTTCCAGTAATCCATCTGAAAAGTGGCCTTACAGGAAATATTGGCTCCTTTCTGTGTTTATTTGAACATGATTTTATTTATAGGGAACCCCCTCCCCCCCACTTGAGTTCCTTGAGATGAAAATACTTCCAAGTTCCTCTCCCTGTTGGCGTGTGCAGGCGTTCCAAGAAGGCAGCCACCTACCTTTTCCCTGAAATTTCCATGCAGTCTCACAGTTCTCGGGAAGGCAGGTGGGGGTCAGGGAGAGGGGAGGGTGGAGGACGGCAGAGCCTCTGGCCTCAGCATGAATGCTGTGGGCCAGTATCCCCTGCTGCATTTGTTAACTGCACAAGTATGTGTGGTTTGGAACTGAAGAAGAAAGCCTCTTCCAGGGCCACGTTCTGCTGGCTCAGGTTGCATCTTCTCGTCTCCGTGTGTTGAGCCACATTTGTCCATTCCCAAGTAAAGTTTATGAAAATGGCACTGAGGCAGCCACACTTGAAATGCCACTGAAGCCATGTGGACAAGTCCGCCACCCTTCAGGTGGTGGTCGTTTAGTTGCTAAGTCATGTGTAGCCCACCAGGCTCCTCTGTCCGTGGGATTCTCCAGGCAAGAATACTGGAGTGGGTTACCATTTCCTTCTCCAGGGGATCTTCCCAACCCCAGAATCGAACCCGGTCTCCTGCATTGCAGACAGATTCTTTACCAACTGAGCTACTAAGGAACACTTCATGGGACCAGGCCAAAGCTGAGGCACGTCCAGTTCTCTGCATGTGGGGTGGAGTTTGCTGGTAGCATTTAAAAAGGTACTTCAGTAGAAAACCTCAGAGACCCAGCAGCAGCAACAGCAACAACAAAAACACCACAGAAAAGAAAGGAGGGTCTGACCTTGAGCTTTTGTTTCTCTGAAACCTGTATGTTGTACATATGGGGTCACAGGACATTTCAAGAAAGCAGCAGCTGGAGGTGTATTAAGCTGAGCCCCTGAGGTTTCCTCCAAACTATTTCTTCACCTTTTCTGTCAAGACCCAGAACCAAGGGGTAGAGGTGGGAGTTGGCAGAACTTAAAATATTCAAACTAATTTAGCAAAGCTCAGGAGTGTTGGCGCTTATCTCATTATTTGTCAGATAAGGAAGAAGGGGGAATCCAAAGGATAATGATAGATCAGCATATAAGGATCTCACCATCGGGACTCTGATAACGTTCTGGAATCCCAGGATCCTCGTACTGTGCACATAGATGCAAATTCCAGTTGCTCAGAGAGTTTTTGAGTAACCTTTCAGTTTATTTCACAGGAAAGATTCATGGTGGACTAATTTGGTTTTTTCAAGTGGAAACACTCCCAAGATACCACCTAAAACTTGTTAAAGATACTTGACGTGAACAGCCTCTTAGATGTGAAATGGAAATGGATTTTTTTTTTTCCAGGCAAAGCCCTTTCTGTTAGTGTTTGCATTCTAACCCACAACTCTCCAGGATAAATGGGTTAAGACACTCTTGGGTCATCAGAGCCTGGGTGTAGTCAGAGTGGGCAGGTGAGAAGAAGGTCAGCAAAGGGGATTTAGGAAGTGCTTCTCCTGCTCTTCCAGTCCAGTCTGACAACACGGCTCATAACCGCTGTGCTCTGAATGCAGCCGTCTGCCCTTTGTGGTGTATTATACATAACACGTCAGGCAGAATTGGCTTGCATTAGCCTTTAGGGAACTTCCAAAGGTAAAAATCTAATAAAAATGTAAACGTCATTAGGATATACCATGCGTGCATCCATGCATGCCCGTCACTCAGTCGTGTCTGACTCATTTGCAGCCCTGTGGACTGTAGCCTGCCAGGCTCCTCTTTCCATGGGATTTTCCAGGCAAGAATACTGGAGCAGGTTGCTGTTTCTTCCTCCAGGGGGTCTTTCCGACCCAGGGATTGAACCTGCATCTCTTATGCATT